AGATTCACTTTCTGATCGAACGAGGTACTGAAGTCAAAAATCGAAGCATTTTTACTGCCCCAAAACGTGATGACAGGCACAAAAAAAAAAAAAACACACATCATGGTAAAATCAATACATTCATCGCTCCGCTCAGAATCTAAAATTGATTAGTGATCACCGTCGTGTTGCCGGAGGCTTTACAAACATTTTCACAACAATAATAAATTTTGCTCTAATAGAGCTTTTTTTTTTACATCTTTGCCCTTTGGATTATGTCGTCAATAATAATTGGCTGGCAAGGATCCTATAGTCTGTTACTCGTTATAGGTTAGGCAGGTCTATCGATTTTATTTCACCGCTATATATTTACTGCCGAGCTGTCGAAGATGTCGGCCAAAAAAAATACTCTGGTTTCTGTGGAAAACGCACTATAATATATAATAAATATACCATATATCATGCACTTTAGGTATAACACTACTTGTTCAATAATTTACCTTATAAATAGATCGGACCACGCAGGCATTTATAGTTTGCGCGACGGAATGATTACCTATRTTATCTGTTCAGCGCGTGGGGTTAGCCACCTATATGCGTATTAACTGTTAGTATTAATATTATAATGTTATGTACGATAAAAATAACGATTTTTCAACCAAAAATAAAAATGTTTAAAGATTAAAAAAATACATAAGAAATCGCATATTACGGTGAAAATGATTTGTGCGTGATAGTATAAATGGTTAGTCCTACAAACAAAACAAATATGCTTTTTTAAGTGTATTGGAAATTAGGTTTTCAACATTTTTTATTTTTTTAAGTCTATAAGGGCATTATCTTTCGTATTACTCATTTGAATAACAAATAGTTTATTTTATTTTTTATTTTATTATAAAAATGCCTACAGCAACGTAATGTTCTATACCATTAGTCTTTATCAGTTTTTTTAATTTAAATTCTATTTTTGTAACCAATAGTTAGATCCATATAATTACTAATTAGTATATATAAACAAAATACAATTCGATTTTCATGAGCCAAAACAAAAATAACATTTAAACCACTCTATAGCACCTTATTAAAAATAGGCTATAGGCCCATAGACATTGTAAAAAACGTTAAAACAATCCAAGTYTYAAAAATCTATTGCTATAACTTTTATTAAAAT